GACTTTCGCTTTGCAAAATAAGACAACTGAGCCTCAAAATACCATTAAAATTTGCACAGCCTAGCTTCCTCAAAGACCGTGTCACCCAAGACTTGCTTTAGCTCATACACCACTCCAACAACGAGTGTAGTTACAACATTGGTGTGATAATCACGGTACCGAGTATAACCAGTTAGCTAATAGCATAAAGCTAGGTGTAATTATTTACGAACATTATATGCAGTACGCAAAATCTTAGTCATTGTCAGAGATAGGATAAGCTGAGGAACCAAGTCCCGTTCAGTGCGCATTTCTGCTCACCATTAGAACATTTCCAAAAAGCACCGATTGTAAATACAAACAAGAAAAATGAAAACCTAGATACAGAAAGAAAATATACTAGGTAAATCACATGGTTAGATGCATGTAAACATAGAAACGTATATGCATTCTTAATTATTGTTATACCAAGAGGTGAGCTTGACTAATCAGCAAAGAATAGGTCAAGTTGTAAGAATGTATTGCAGGCATATTTGCATTATATAATACAAAAAAGCTATATAATTCCAGTGATGAATTGGAAATAAGACAATACTAAAGCTATATGGGATGAAAGTAGGCGACTTCGCAGGCATGAATAAAATATCACATAATAAAGTACATTTTAGGAGACGTCAAATCATTTAGAAGCAGAGTATAAAATTAACATTCAACGTCACAAATCACACTCTTTTGCGGTCCGTCATAACCCGGATAATACATCCAAGGTTACCGCGTTGGAATACCTGTAAGAGTAATAAGAATTAAATTGTTAATAGGTTACCTTTTCGTGCCAGTTTAAAAGAGTAAGGCTATTCGCATCTTTGAGTGAATCAAAGCCCCTATATATATACTTCATCAAAAGATCAATTTGTTCTTCATTTAAGGTAGCTATTGCTTCGTCGATCTGTGTAAGCTTGTATGAGGACAGTATTTTCATCATTATCCTAGCAGCTGCGTCTTTAACTGCTTTATCCTTTGAGTTTATTGGAGCATTTTGAAGAACAAATAAAAGAGCATCGTTATTACGATTACTAATAAGAAGTTTAAAATTATATGCAACTCACTTAGCTAGAAGGCTATTGATATGCGATTCAGCAATAGCGGGAATAGAATTTTCATCCGTCTGGTCATCTTGAAATGCCGACTCAGTAAACTGATCGACATCAACTTTTCGGAAACGAGTATCATTCGTATTCTTAGCCATAAGAAACTTAAATGGGAATATTTAAACAAACAAAGAGGACAATAAGGATACTTTTGGTAAGTACTGTAAGTGCCTTTTAAAATAAATAATTAATAAAAATATTATATTATTACTTTTAATCAATTTTTTTAGCAGTAATTAAACTATGCATATTTAACGATTTTGAAAACGATATAGTATTCCTTAATTGATTTGGACAAAATTTGTAATTCCTATTTTTTACAAAAGTGGTAATATGATGTAAAATAAATAAAATGCATTGGTTTTCTAACTTCATTGCATATCTTTTGAAACATTATTTTATTCAGATGTTGTTTGACCTTGTTTTCTCACCTTGGTAATATTGGTAGGAAGACTTAGATAAACGCACTGAGTTCGTTATATGCATTATATTTTCCAAATCGGAGCGTTGACGTAGAATATCACCAGATGTACACAGGCATATTAGTCGGCATCGTCATTAAGTTTTGCAATTCCTAGCATCATACAACAACTCGTCAAAGAGACAATCGAAGCCTGTAATTTGACCAAACGTGTGCTAAACAGTTGTGGTATCTCTCTTTCTGCCATGGGCTATTTACATTTGCTATATTTTCCTATTACGCCGTTACTGTTACATTTAGAAGTAGTGTGGTAAGCCCTTTTGAAAGCGATTCATAACAACAATCCGCACCCCATGTTGGCGTTATCACCTCCCCTTTAGCCTTGTGCTGGGAATGTTGAACAGCGTTAGCAATATTATTATGCAATCCTCCTTCCCTAGGTCTTATAGGAGTCTCTATCTTGCTCCGTAGAATCAGTCTGCTATCTACCTGGTTTAAGTATTTCCCACGACTCCTGCCACCTTATCTGTCCTACTTGAGTTGTTATATCCCCTCTCCTGCGTCTGAATGACAAATTTGATGCTAAAGCATCTCAGTACGTCTAATTATCAAGCCTTTGCTGCATGGTCCACGTTTATGGTAAAACATACCGAAGGAGAGATACCACAACTGTTTGGCACACGTTTGGTTAAAGGATCGGCTTAACTGTTGAACAGCATTCTTTACAAAGGATTAAAACAGTAAAATTTGATTAATGACTAAAATGGCAAGGCTGGGAACTCATCTACATCTTTCATGCCACGATAACTAATATTAATAGGAGCTATAATGTTTTGGCTAACATAATATCTCGAATTAATATAATAAACATTAACTAGCAGAAGCTAATACGTTTGTAAGATAAATTTTTGATTGTGATATGAAGCATTTTCAGCAAAGTAGGTGCAAATTCTTTTATTTTGCAGCGATGCAAGTCAATGGATTTAAATAACCAATTTTCTCAAGAATAAATTTTGGTTTTCAGTAGGTAATAAGATTAAATTGCAGGAAGAGATAAGATCCTCTTGCTCAAACCTAATTATTCAAATACTTACAAATGAAAAATGGACACTGCTTAAAACTGCTTTTAAATGAACGCCCATTTCGTAGTTCAGTATGGAATATTTTGTTAGATGTATAACTCCTGCAAACTATTTCTGTCATCTGATTTTAGACCCATTATATTCCTCGTAATTAAACTTAATCAAGGACTCACATACAGATTACATCTAAATTAAAAACATCTATTTGTAGGTATGAAGAACAAGATGGTCTGGCCTTTTATGTGGTCACAGGAACTTTTCGATGTGTTGAAGTTGTTTGACTTGGCCATATTGGTAGGAAGACTAAAAAGAACACACCTAGTCCGGAGTTTATTATATGCATAATCACTTCCAAAGTTGGACCGTGGACGTGGTATATTCCAAGACGTTTTTCTGACACCATAGTTGGCATCGCCAGTGAGTATAGCCATTCTTAGCACCATACAGCAACTCGCCAGAGACAAGCCGATTCTTTGACGAAACATGTTCTAAACAGTTGTGATATCTTCCCGTCTGCCCTTGGCTATTCACATTTCTATCACGCCTTCCATGTCACAATTTTACTGTGTTTGTTTCGATGTAGTATGGTGTGCTCCTTTGAGCAGCATTTATTAAAAACTTTCACACTCTATGCTGTCTTTTTCACTTCCTTCTCATCTGTACTGGGAATGTTGATCAAAGTCTGACATATTGTTATGCAGTTAACCTTTGTTCGGTCTAATCACAATCTCTCTCTTGTTCCGAAAGATCTGTCTACTATATCCCTTATTCACCTATTTTACTCGATCCCTGCCACCTCATCTGTGCTACTCGAGGAGTTATTCGCCCTACCCTGCGTCTGGTTGACTAATTCGAGGCTAAAGCCTCTGAATAAGTCTCATCATCGAGCCTTTGCAACATGGACCACGTCTGAGCTAAAACCTACTGTAAGCCAACTAGCTTGAGTCTCCGCCACGTTTATCCGGTTTCTATTCTTAATACTAAGTATATGACTTCCTATGCCATAAAACGTTGTGGTTCAACATTAAACCTAATAAAAGCAAGATTTAACAAAACATTTGTGGGTTGGCACATAAGAAACTAGTGCATAGGATATCATAGGCATAGTAGTACGGATAGAAACAGGATAGACTCGCCGGACATTGCAGCTAGTTGACTGACAGTCGGTTTTACCATAGACGTGTTCAATATTTCAAAGGTTTGATGATCAGACTTACTCAGCGTCTTTAGCTCGAATTAGTCACCCAGACGCAGAAAAGTGTGAATAGCGCCTCGAGTAGAACAGATTGGTTGGCAGGAGTCGAGTGAAATACTCAAAACGTGGATGTAGCAGCTGGATCTTACGGAACAAGAGAGAGACTGTGATAAGACTTAGAAATGTAGGACTCTGATCGACATTCCCAGTACAAGGGTGAAGGGAGTGAGAACGACAGCATGAGGTGTGGAAGCTTTTCATGAATGCTGCTCAAATGAGCACACCATACTACATCGAAATAAACACAGTAAAATTGTGTCAAGGAAGGCGTGATAGGAGAATATTAGAAAGGTGAATAACCCATGGAAGAAGGGAAGATATTACAACTGTTTAGCACACGTTTCGCCGAAGTATCGGCTTCACTTGTTTCTGGCGAGTTGTTGTATGGTGCTAAGAATGGCTTTACTCGCTGGCGCTGCCGTCTACAATGTCAGCGAAACGTCTGGGAATATACCGCGTCCACGGTCCAACTTTGAAAATGATTATGCATATAATGGACTCCGGAATAGGTGTGTTCCTCTAAGTCTTCCTATTAATATGACCAAGTTGCGAAAACATGGTCAAATAAAGTCTAAAAATATCTAGGTTTGTACATACTCTCGACTGTTTTATAGATCAGTACGATATACTTTAGTCTTTTAGCTTGTATGTGACTGTGTCAGTCTCATAACAAATCCAAATTTCTTAAAATATTTTTAAACAATATGTATTGAAAATTATTTTAAATTCTTGAAACGGAAGGATTTATTTGTGCAAGATTAAATAATTTATTTTAATGGAATCTATTTTTTGAAACCACACTAAGTAGAATAAATTTCCTAGATTTTTATACAAAGCGGTATTGTTATTGCCCTCTGGATCTTATATTTTTAATAGTTATATTATTAGAATAGAAATTTGTATGAATCTAAACTACAAGCGTGCTTCATAATCCAAGAATTCGTGTGTATGAACGGTTATTTAAGGCGCTGTTAATTGTATTTTGGTTCAAAAAATAAAAATGACTGAGATATAAAATATAAGTGCAATATAATAAATGTAAGTTGAGGTGAATCTTACAATTTAAATTCTTTTATCCAAGTAGTTCTATATAATATTTTTTAAGACAATTGAAATCAAGATAATGAGATGTATTCACCCT